CCCCCATGTTTTGTGCATTAATATTACTTTTCATCTTTTATTGTTGAGAGTTTTACAACAAAGCTGTTTGCTAATCTGTCATAACGTCATGCCAGCTTTGGGTGGTTGAAGACACTGAGAGGTTTCCATTCTCGTGCTCCCAGCAGGGGGTCCCTTCTCTGCTTTCTAATATAGACTTTCACTGATAAGGAACAATAAATTGGCTCTTTGTGTATAACACAATTTATTTTCAATATAATTGGAGACTATCCACTCGCTAATTAGGCTTAGTCTCAAATGTCGTTATGCAAATCTCTTGGACATACATTTAGAAGTAAGGAGTAGTACTTGCAAAAAAAGAAGTGTTATTCATTATTAACTTTAGAGGGAAGTGACAGCTTGAATCTTTTCAACAAAAGATTTATATTTGAAAGCAATTTTGTGCATCTTGAAAAGCCGACTGCCACATTTCTAAAGCCTGTAAGCCTCCTCTTCTTATTGCAGGGTTAGAGTAGAGAAGTCAGAGCAGCTTTTACGACATATTGAGTTGTGCAAGTTCTCCTTCGCTGCTCCTTCTGCTTCAATATTGGACAAACTGTTGGGATTTGTATTTGTGGACTTCCAAACCAAGTAATCAAGATTTCAGTAATGCCTCATACACATAGGTCAAAGGAGCCATAAGGCATTCTAAGGGAAATGAGAAAGTGTCCTTCTGTCAACAAGATTCTCCTTCTTTCACCAGTTATTTAAAACATCAGATTTAAAAATATCCGGAAGGGTCTGAGGTTAAAACTTAATCTGCACATTCAAGAGAATATTCTAAATGCTGAAAGGCTGGTCGCATGTTTAACTCTTACATGTGTGTCTGCTTTATGCAGGTGCAGATGGGACAAACTCTGAGCCGACCAATGAGGAGGTCAGCGTTCTTGCCCTCATCTCAACCCCAGAGGATCTGCAACCAGTTGCGGCTAAGGAGCACCAAGTGAGCAGAAAGAGCCACTGCGTCCCAGGTGAAGAGTCCGACAGTGACTTTGAATCCGACCCTCCTTCGCCAAAGAGCAGTGAGGAAGAGGATCCGGAGGAGGAAGAAGGCCTGAATAGTGAACATGGTGAAGACAATGAGCCAGAGAACTTAGGGCAGAGGCCTCTGTTGATGGACTCTGAAGAAGAGGGAGAGGAGGATGAAGACATGCACAGCTCCGACTCAGAATTTGACCCCAGCAGGGTCAGGGGCCACTCAAAGAAAGCTCTGGCCAGTAAAGCAGCTGTAGTGACCCCCAGGAGTTCTCCGGAGAGTCCTGCCATGACTCTGATTAGCCCTCTGGGGTCTCCGAGCAAAGTGAGAGCTGCTCCAGCTGAAGACTCTGTGGATGTGTTTGGTTCTGTCCCTTTCCTTGGAGGAACCTCGCCTGTCGGACCAACAGAGAACTCAGACATATTTGCTAAAGCCCCTTTCAGGCAAGTTAGCGACGAGCAGCTAACAAGGGACGACTTTGATGTTTTTACCAAAGCGCCATTCAACCGGAACCTGTCTAAGTCGGGACAGAGTGGCAGTGATGTATCCACAGGCCAGACGCTCTCCATTTCCCCTGAGCCCATTGACATTTTTGGCTTCTCTCCCTTTGAGCCAGGTGCCATCGCCCCGTTCCCCACAAGCTCCAGAAGCGCAGAAGATATCTTCCATTCATCTTTCGAGGAGTCGGCCAGCCCTCAGCAGCAGAGACTAAAGCAGCGCAGCCTACAGAAGCTGTCGTCCCGACAGAAGAAAAACAAGCAGGAAATCACAACAGGCGGCAGCATCGGCAAACGCCACCACGGTACACCAACCGGAGGTCGTAAGAGCAACAAGTCGACCTACCGCACACCTGAGAGAGTCCGCAGACACAAGAAGGTCGGCCGCAGAGACTCGCAGAGCAGCAACGAGTTCCTCAGCACCTCCGACTCTAAAGAGAACATCAGCGTTGATATAACCATGGCCGAGGGGACAGACAAAGGAGCTTCTCTCCCAGTAGACGAGGTTTTTCTGGACCCTTTTGGAGCCAAGCCATTCCATCCGCAGGACGGCAGTCGGCACAGCCAGTATCAAGGACTCACTGACAGCACAAGCGGCATGGGCCCAGCCAATAGCAAGTCCTGGTCTGGCTCACTTCCCGATCTTGAAGACAGCAGCATGGATGACTTCGGGGCGGTGCCCTTCACAGAAGTGGTCGTCCACAGTGGACCTGAGGAGGAACCGCCCTCACAGCCGGGGGACCTCGACCCGTTCGGAGCTGCGCCTTTTCCAACGAAGGAGTGACTTCCTGTTCTGCCAGGGTCTGTCAAATAACACCTGAGCACATTTTCTTTCTTTCTTTCTTGCGAATATCTTCAATCAACCATGAAACGACAAGCTAACAAATGCATATTTTTTTAAAAGAACATTATAATGCATCTCTATTTGAATAACATCAATCCTGTGGAGTGCGAGTGACTGTGCTACATATCTTTCAGCTGTTCCCGCTGAGAGCCTTTCATGCTGCATCTTAACGCTTGTGAAGACGTTTGAAGCGGAGCAGAAAACCTTCTCGGAAGTCCCACTGTGATTGTAAGCTTAACGTTCGACTCGCTGCAAAAAGCTCTTTATGGCTTGCCTTCTCATCTACCAATATTATTTTTTAGCACCTCGAAGCCTTACCTGAGCTAGCTAGGCTCTGCCTTGCCACACAGTCCCTCGGAAACCACGGCACGGACGTTGGCCTTTTTTGTCGCTGAGATTCTTCGGGAATTGACCTTAACCACTTTGTTTTATTCTTATTAGATCTTTCTCTATGCATCATTTAACTCTAGTCTTCACACAGCAATGTGAAGCTGTCATCTTTGTTGGATTACACTTTCTAGAGGGGATCACACTTTATTGTACTTCCCTAAAATGCGAATTGAATCAGGTATACATTTTGGCTCTTAACTGTTTTATCCTTTTTAACCGTAAACTTTGAGGTAAGTAATGTTAATTTTAAATTTCTATTCTATAACTCAACATATTTTGTTAGAAATAAGGAATTAATAAAACACAAACACATTAGATCACTGTTCTTAGATCCCTTTTAAAATCCCACAAGGTGTACCTCCATTTTCTCAGAAAGTGCTTCTCACATTGGAACCCATAACATTTTCATTCAAATCCACGCTCAAGGATGAAAACACAATATAACGTTTGTTATTTTTCACAAATCATAAGAAAAGACCAACAATGTGTAAATCTGAGTGGAACACTTTCTGAATTCCTGTATGTGGCTCTCAAACCCAAGCTCATTGCTTCTTACTGAAGCCTTGTCAAGATTGATACCTATCTGTAGATCTACAGTCAAGAGACCCTTAGCTTAGCTTAGCATAGCACTGATAAAAGTGAAAATCGCTAGCCTGGCTTTGACCAACTGTACCAAAATGTGCTTACCAACACATATAAAGTTTAACAATAAGTACTAAAAGTGTGTGGGTTTTTAATATATGTTTACAGGAAGTTATTTACAACACTATTTCTTGAACTGGAGCAGTGACGTCCTCGGGTCCCAGGGGTTTCCGTGAAACCTCAAGGTGACGAAAAGACTAAAGACATGTGATGGTAGGCAGACTGAGCTACCTTTTAGACGGAGCCAGGCTAGCTTTTTTTCCCATAACACTAACCTGCTAATGCTTTCTATTGAAAGCATAGATATGTGTGTGGCATTAATCTCCTCATCAAACTATCAGCAAAAAATATATCATTTTATATAAATACAAATGTTGTGCAGCAGAACACTGTGTGCTGAGTTGAGTCTAGACATGACTTTAGTCAACTAATTGGTCGTAATTTAGTTATGTATTTTTTCACTTGGTTGAATTCATTCTAGCAAACGTATGAGCACCACTCTTGTATTCACAAGTTTTAAAATGGTTGCTTTTCAATCATTCTTTCTGAAAAACTCAGTTTTATAGATCTGTCCATAACGTGAACTAATTGAGGACTGCCAGAGAAAGAGCAATGGGGTTTCAGGCATTAGCTACAAGGCCATCATTTGTCTTAAAGATTATACATATTGGTCTTTTAATGTTATTTGTTCAATATAACAAATAATAATGCATGTCTTTCCACAAAATATCAATTGGTGTATTCACAAAGAGAAACACATTAAAACCCAATGAGATAACTGTAATGTGTATTCAGGTCATTTGTACTTATAGATGCACTTGTCGGTACTGAATTATTCCATTATCTTGTTCTGTGTGCTCTAGAATGAAGGCCTTTAACACTGATTTACCTTCACAACCTTTGGCTCATTGAATTAAACCTGCAGGTCGCCGTGTTTGACCAGTGGAACCATTTGATACAACTACTTTCCAGCTTTGATTTTTTTCACAAGGGTATCTCTGATATTGTATTTATCATGCTTTACTGCGGTTTGATGCAATAAAAAAAAAAGAAGAGTCATCTCAGTGAGGCTGGAAGTGGATGCTTTCAAGAAGTATTTCAACAAAGCGGTTTTACACTTAACATTTTATTTAGAGTCAAGTTCAGCAGTTCGATATGAAAGGTCAAGATACAAAATGTCTTCTGCTACAAAAGGAGTCTAAGATATTTTCAAAGACAAAATGTTCCAGAGAAACCATAACACACAGAGCAGGTCCATAATGAATAATTTAAATACATAACACAAGAGGACATTTCCTCCATCGTAAACTTAAAAACATTAACTATCACACAAATGACTTTAATTCCAAATTAGATTGCTAACACTTAACACCTATAGTAATTACATGCCATGTTTCAGACATTAAGACTCAAGCTGTCAGCTGTTACGTTTGTGAGAACTTAAACATTTGTATTTTAGAAATTTGAAGCATTTCTGTCAAGGTGACTTATCCAACATGTGCTGAATTTTGGAATCCATCCAATTGTACAACATTGCACAGTACCTTGAATAAGCCAGATAAAGGGTTATTGTGTCAGTTAAAACACTGTTGGTAATGTCAGTGCAGGCAGAAAAAGCATTTTGCAAAAACAAACTATTTAAATGACAAATGTACAATGGCTAACAATGCTGCAAATGGTAGATTAAAGTTGCAATATGAACTGCAATGCATGTGGATACAGATTTAAAATTTAAAATCAGTGCTTGAATATAAAAAAAACTCAAATAAAAATGTCCGACTTCTGTAGAAAGCATTATTTTAAACTTTATGGAAGTGTATTTAAGTCTTTCAGTTCACGTGCACATACAGTTGGGTCTCTGGCGTGCCTACAGACCCAACAACTGAATTAAGACGGCCCAATAAAGTCCTCAAAGTCCTCCTTTAAAAGGTTCCTGGCCTAAAGTCAGAACTTGGAGGCGGAGCTCTGTTTAACAGCCAAAATGTACCACTCCATTTGAATAGGCCTCAGCTCTCTTTGCGTGGGGGTCTATAATAATAAAATAAAGATGTGAGGGAGAAATGTTAGAATAAAACAATACTTGTATCTGGGAGGTGATTGGGTATTTTGCTCATTTGTTCAATACACTGGGATTTAACACTTTAAGATAACATTGCAGTCGGTCTAAATGTCAGTTTAATAATTAAGGCTATGCAGTCCAACACATAACATAAATAATGTAAATCCAGACACCAGGTACTGACACACCTGCAGTTTATGATAGTTTGTAGTAGCTGTACAAAGAGTCAGTATACGTCACAGCCCTGGGACTCGAACAGTAGATCGTCTCACACAGTGGTGAGAAACACAGCTAATGCACACACTGAAGGAGAACATGAATACACTCTGAATGTAACACAAACTGATGAAGATAACAAGTCTTTGGTTTTCTAACTAAACATGAATGAATTACAAGTTAGTTTGATAACTTACTGGAACTGCCAGAACAAGCTGTTTTAGAAGAATCATCACTACATGGAAATCAGAATAGGTTGTTTTGGGGGCGCAGAATGCTTTTCATGTTCTCACAAATCTTTAAAAACAGGTGGTTCATTTTAAAAGTTGGGCAAAATGTACATCAGTTAATTCAATAAGCGCTATATGTTTTATTAACAGGCACTTAAACACCTCTTATAGAAAATGCTACTTAACTTGCAACCTTAATGATTTAAAGCTGCTTTTTAGGTTGTGTGAAATTGCGGTACAAAGGAGTTTTGTAGTTTGACGCACGGTCTGGTCTGGTGGTAAGAATGAGTTAGAGCTGCTGTGACTGTTCAGCTACACACAGAGGTCCTGTGAACACACACTGAACACATGATCCCTTCCATCCTTAAGGGAGCCCCTCGGGTGTTTCCTCCACAGGCAGGGGGCCGACACCCTTACAGGTGAGAGTGTGTGCGTCTGTGAGGAAATGGACTGGAGGTCTGTCCCTGGTGTCCCCTGCTTTCACCTCAACATGCTGCAATACTCTGCAGCCGTTCACCAGCTGAAGGAAAGAAATGGTTTGATCGGTTAAACAATAAAAGTAGAATTTAAAACTGTTACAGCGAATAACAAGTAAGTGGTTTTCCAGACATTTAGAGTTAATGTCTGTTTTTTTTTGTTTTTTTTCCACATAGTAAATTATATTGAAGATAATCTTTGGAAAAGCGTCATTGTAGATTATGTCAAAAACTATCAAAGAAACATCTAAGCATGTCGACGATATAACAAATCGATAAAAACGACATTGTATGGTATGTTGAAAATGTGCACGTGTGCAGACAAAATTCCTCAAAAGTCTCTGCAGCTGTTGAGCTGACTGACAGCCGACTGACAGTCAATCCCGCGGGGATCAGCTGTTGCTTTCCTCGCAAACGCCCGCCGCTTAATGTGACGCTCAAGAGGAACGGACATCTCATCGCTCTTTAAAATCATTTCCTCGTTTTCTCTCTCTTTGCAGAGATTCGTAGTTAAAGAAACGTGGATGTGATTTAAGAGACGTGGCATGTGCCCGTCATGTTAGTGAGGTCTGGAGCTGCAGCGTTCACAATCAGCTGCAGCTGTCTAATGGATGTTTTGTGAGACCTGGAAAGACACAGTTACTGAAGATAAATGCATGGGCAAGTATTTTCTTTAATCATAAGGTCATAGTATAGTTTTACAAAACTTTGAAGGTAGAGTAAATTATTAGAAAATTAATAGAATAGTAAGTCGAAATATATTTATGAAAAAGTCATAGAATACTATATCAAATGAGATTAAAAAAAAGACACTAATACCTTTATACTAATAGTATAGTGTTTCCAAAAAATGCTCTTGCCATTCTGACCCAGAATCGTGTCCAGAGGGAATATATGACTATACTTTTAAAGACCAAGTGGATATACAAAAATAATACTTAAAAGGTCATAGAAATGCTTACAGTTAGTCATAGTCGGATATCCCATGGTGCACAGCAGCATCCTAGTCGTGGTGGGGGGCGTTCGGGCAGGGCTCGCTGTGTCTGTACGCCATGATGAAACATGACGACTGGTGCCACCAGTAGAACATCAGCACCAGCAGCAGGTGCCACACCTGGTGGCTGGAGCCCAGGTAGTTGAGCTGACCTGCAGCAACATCACAGACAAAAGGAATTAGCAACAAAACTAAATTCTTAGCATTTGTCTTCTATGAAATTGATAGCTTTACAGCCGTAACTGAGCTTGAAGAGGACATGTTTTGTGCCTCTGCTCCGACATGTTCACATGCTTTAATGTTCAAAAAGCTCTTTATTATTCTCATGCTGCAGCACCTCTTTTCACCCTCTGTCTGAAACCAGAGCCCTGTCTGCTCTGATTGGCCAACCACTAAGAGATGTCCAACCCTTAGCCTATCACATACAATGTGTTGGAGCACTAGCCAATAGAAGTGCAAGTGTTACAAAGAGAAGTCACTCTGTTACGGAAGTAAACAAAGGAGTCCAATGGAGGCATTTTAGACGGGGGGGGGGGAGTGTGTGGGAGAGAAAGTCTCTGGAGGAAGTTTGGGGATTTTAGCCTTTGCAGACCATTTACATGCACAGAAACCTATATCACACACTGCAGGGAAGGGAAAGCCTTAAAAAGTATGATGTCCTTTATTGTTTTATGTTTCATGTGGAACCTATATGCTGCAGGTCTCCCTTGAAAAAGAGGTCTATGATCTCAATGGGACCAATCTGGTTAAATAAAGGCTTGAAATTAAATTAAATTAAATGAAATAATGGGGATGCTTCAAGATCATGATTTGATCATAAGGCTGTTATTTACACAACAACTGATGTACAAAAGGATGTTTTTCATGTATTTTGTAGGGAGAGAGAGCAGAGAGAGAGAAAAAAAAAAGAGACACACACACACACACACACACACACACACACACACACACACACACACAGTCTCACCTGGGAAGTAGCGTTCAGGAACTTTTGAAACGTAGAAAATGAGTGCTAATGCAGCGATGAAGTACATCCCCAGGATTCGAGGAACAAAGGCCTGAAGAGGAAAAACATCTGTTTAACTAACGTGTGGACAAAACTGAGCAACAGTCTAAATGTCTCAGCAAAATAAAAACAGTTACCGAATTGCAGACATTTTAAAGCTAAAATAACTAATTATTACCACTATTCCTCTATATTGTTTTTTCAAGATTGGACATATTGAATGTTCAAACAGCTCAACATTTAATCAACCTTTCAAAAATCATTCTGGTGACTGTGCTGACCTGGACCAGCTCGGAGGAGAAGCCCCCGGTGAGGCAGATCCAGTGGAGGGTGGGGATGAGGCCGAAGCCCGCCACCAGGCAGAAGGTGAGCGAGCGCATCTGCTTCCACTGCTTGCCGAGGTAGTGAGGGTGGATCTGAGCGAAGAACACGGCCAGGATCATGGCCAGGACCGTCACCAGGTACACCTGCCGCCAGTACTGCAGGGACAAAGGTCAAAGGACAATGCACACATCCTGTGGATCAGCGTCATTCTTACATTTCAATAAAACAATATGAAAATGTCAATAAAACTCTCAAAAGTATTGGAAGTCATAAAAGTATTAATCGTTGGATTTATTCATAAAAAGCAATAGTTAAGAATGTCATTAATAAAAGTTATAATATAGTATGTATTGGAAACGCTCACAAAAAGGTCCTAGTACGTCAGAAACAATTAATTGGCATAAAGAAAATCTAAACTCTTAGTATAGTAACCAATACCAAATGTCATAAGACAGTCTATAATATTAACTTCATTCATGAACAGCCATAGTTTAGAACGTCATAACATATTTCATGATAATATAGTATGTTGAAAAAAAGAATTGTATACTGTCAGCAAAATGCCATATAAATAGACTTATAATAGTCTTAGTACAGTCTTCACAGTAAAATGTGGTAGTATAATGTGCAATGAAAAAGTCATGGTGATCATAAAACATCCATAACATAATATTGGAGGTATTGCAGACATCAACAGGTTTTTAAAAGAGAACCTGAAGTAGTCACTGGAGGAAAACACTATAGGATCGTAGATGTA